ATAATCTGTTATATATATTAATATATATATAAATAAAACAGTTTTGTTAAAAAGGCACAGGATTAACTCTTTCCAGTTTTCCAGTTCGGTGTGATGAGACACGCTGTGTGTTCTTCCCATTTTGCCTTCCTGAAGCTTTCAGGCACTTTTCAACAGGCCGCTGGATCTCCTCCATACATATTTCAGCAATAACTATGCCCATTCAATTCATTATTTAAAGAAATAAGATTTTAGTTCCTGAGCACATTCTGCTGAGCATCTCATTAACGCCCTGCCAAGAGCACAAGAGAACAATAACAGCCTTTCATAGGAATGCTCAGGATGCATCGGCTGCGTTATGGATATGTGCTGCGTGTGAAACTACCACCCGGAACAGAAAGCAGCCCTGTATGTCAAGGATGGAATGTGGGAGGTAAACAGGACATGGATAGGAAAGTTTATAGCATCTCTGCCTGCTGTTTTAGTCCAAGCTGATTTCTTCAGACCTGGAAACCCAAACCTTGCCCTGGGTGCTCTGAGCACACAAGTGCATGTCCATTATAGTAAAGGCAAAAGGGTTTATGATACCTTAAGAGGGTCTGTGTACTTCCCACAACCAGTCTTCAACCTTTCACAATTATAAGCAGACAGACAAAAAACCCAAATAGAGCCAACAAAGGCACACTGTATGAGCCACAAACTTAAACCCCATGCTTGAATCCATCTGTTGTATACCACAGTGTTTAAGCTCTAATTTACACTAACTGATGTGTAAAGTCCTGAAATGGAAAAGACCAGTTTCAGACCTCACCATCTCCTGCATCCCCCTGCACACAGGCTGCCTTTTGGGGATCACTTCCCCTCCGTGTTTTTTTGTTATTTTGTTCGGCACAATGTGCTTGCATGACCTCATCATGCCTTTTTGCTGAGCCAGGACCACTGCTCATTCGCTTCAGCAGAATACCTCTTCCACATGGTTCCATAAAGGTAATCCGTATCATTGATCTTTCTAACTTTCATAATGTGTTCCACCTCAAAAGTCAGCTAAATGGAGCCAGAGATACAAATCACAAGCTTGGTTTGCATTATTCATCCTTTGCATCACGTCAAAAATCAAGAAGGAATTGCAATCATATCTCCTTTCTGTGAAATGCATTTAAATCAAACACAGCACATCCTAGGGCACATTAACAAGTAAAAGAAAACACTGTTGTAAGAATGGTTTAACACCCTTTTTTTCTGGCAGGAATGACAGTATTAGTTCAGAGTCTTCCTCTGGGCATTTTAGTTTACCTCTTTGTGCTGATGGTCAATTCCACAGTCCCTCCACACTCGAAAACCCTAGAGCTTGTCACCCTACCACAAAAACACTGCACACGCAGAGAGAACTGCTGCCAGCTGGATGCTCCAGAGCCTACCACATAGAGCCCCCTGCTCCAGGCGTTGCTGCCCATGTCAAACTTGCTCACGACAAAACATTTCAGGAATCATCCAGATGGCCTTGACCAGCAGCGCTGGTGCATGCCCTCTGTGCGCTAGTTTCCCTCCAAAAAATCATCTATTGGTCTGTGTGCCCTGAAGTTAGCTGGCTAGTTTGAATGGAAATAGTAAATAAACAGGTAATTCCTGCTATGTAAACAGAAAGCATCCACAAGGCATACCAAACTGCTCTTCTCCATGGAGCATCTACAGCTGTTTGTGGGTTTTCAGGATACAGGTGTGGGCTTCTGGTTCCTCTGCTCGGACTCTGGAGGTCTTCTACTGTCTGATCTCCGGAAACAGCCGGACGAGTGACTGCCACTGGTTCAGCCAATCTGTTCTCCCAAGTTAGAGGTGATAATAATAAACCAGTCAAACATCACTACACCTCTTGTCAGAAGATAAATTTTAATCCTTGCAAGCAGCAGATTGTACACTCCTAGCTAGCTGGATTCAACCCTGGGCAGCAGGCAGAATTCATACGCTGCACACACAACCTGTTCCCCAAAACACACAGATGTGAACTAAAAGAAATTCCAAAGAGCCAAGTAAAACTTGGCTTATATTCCATATAGTGCTACCAGGCTTGGTAACTGGTACAATATGCTGTAATACATTAATTACCTGAAAACAGATACATAGTTCTGACCATTTAGTACATCAGTATTTTTATACATCCTTGCTTTCTTTTTGGGCATGTGAAGTCCTATGAAGACTAAAAAAAACCAAACCCAAACAGAAAACCAGACACCTAGGCAGAGCTTCCTCGCAATTCATTTTATTTGGCAAAGTAGCAATTCAGACAGTTCACACAGCATTTATTCAAGCTCTTCAAATCTTCTGCATTTCAACTTGTCTTCTTCTCCAAGAAGTTTTTACTTCAGAACCACTGCTCCACCATGGAGGGGGTTTTCATTTCCCAAATCCTAAATGCTACTCGTGGATACTCATCTCTGTCTGAGTACCTTGACTATCACCAACCCCCTTCAGTGGAATGGGAGCATTAATCCCAAGAGCCTTGGTCCCTGAAGTCTTACACCTCCTGAAGTGGTTCTCCCCAGGAAAGTTGTCGCCGGTTCTCAGCTTTATCACCTCTTCCAAGTTAGGCTAGCTTATTACACTGTCTCCAGAGACAAGAATTTGGATACAGTTGAGCTCCTATCTCTCATTTAACTGATTAAACTAGTGAGAAGATGTAAATAAAGCTGAACTCAAATTGAATGATACAGTGACCGAAAGGTTGAACATTAGCATGCATCATTTAAGATATTTCACTTCAACACCAAGAACTAGATTCACAGTTGATTGTGGGTTAGTACAAATTTGTCAGACGCAGGTGGGTTTTTCTGAATTGTATTTTCTAGAATACACGCTATATTAATTCCTTTATAAGATGAATCTTTGTGTACGTGCTCCCAGGCTGCAGTCAGATCAGGAGGTGGTACATCAACTTCCAAATGTATAAATAAATTAAGTGATACGTATCTTTTACACAGGAATAGGATGGGGCTGACCTTCAAAAGAAAGGTTATTTAAAATAATCCTCTTTCATATTCAGAGGCCTTTGAATTTTAACCTTTATGCTTTCAGGGATTAATCCTACCACAAAATTATTGCTTTTATACCACAAAGAGTCAAATAATTTTAGCAGTAATCACTGTAGGTTGTTTTATACAAGCTATTTTATTCTATAATCCTTTTCACCATAAAAAAGAAAATGTTAACACGCTGTTTACTTTAATTCCTGGTTGCTCAGATCTGAGCAAGATGACTCAAGACACTGCCCCCCCTTTCCCAAAGCTCACCTTACTGTACTGCTTTGCAATTTGCTGTTGACACTTTACAGTACCAAAACAAAAAACTTGGGGCATAAAAAAAGTTTATAGCCTTCCAAATACTCTTCTACATGAAAACTGAGCAGTTGCATCTCTACCTGTACTTAGGAGCCCAGGATTTGTTATTCCTTCTGCAGTATCATGTTTTCCTTATATACCAATTAAGAATTAACTTTCTAAAAAGCCAGAATTTTTCCTGGGTGCCCACAGTTAGAAAAACAAGAACGTTAATACAGCAAATGTCTTTGCCAAAAGCAACTTTAAGAACCAAACTGGATTTTTTTTTTTTTTTTACTAAAGAATCTAGCAATCCATATCTCAGTAGTCTACTACATACTGATCCTAATCTCCCACACCAGCACACAACCCCACTTTTGCTTTTACTTTATTTGGCAAAGCAGCATTGCATAAACTTAAGTGACTGGGACACAGCTTATGTTATATTTACGGAGTTAAATCCATGTGCATCACATCAGTAGTGAGCTATAAACCCAAACAGAATTTCAAGACTCCATTAATTAATTTTAGAAGGAAAGGGAAAACCATGTCTGTTATATCCAACTTGAATAGCAATGTTTGATAAGAGCGGCCACCCACCTCTGATGTCTTGAAATTTAGTATATACAAATGCCTGGTTTTAAGGTAATAAAGCAGCTGATTGTATCTACTACATGCTAGTCTATGACAACATGTCAAAAGCTTAAAAAGGAAATTCATCTCCTTTTAGTAGCATCTAGCAGACATCAGAACACAGAAAACCTGGTATTACCTATGTAGTGTCATAAGGTGCACAGAAGCAGTTTTACCAAGGGACACAGGAGCTGAGAGAAGTGAGTGTTCAAGTACTCCCATCAAAATCAGAGTTCACAAGCTTTATCTGCAGTTTTGCAGAAACTCACTTTGAACAGATGAAAGTAGAATAAAGGCATGTTAAATAAAACAGTGCCCACATAAAACTTTCCACCATTTCTTTATCAGATTTTCCTTGAGCATCAAAAAAAATAAAACAAACACCACGCATTTCCATGCTGATAACAACAGTATAACAAAGTCCAAAACAAGCTGCAATGCTGTTGGTTTTCAAAAAGCTTTTAGAACTGGAGATGAGCAGTCCACTGTAACACTTATGTTTGGGTCAAGATGATGTAGCTTTTACAATTCATCCCTGTAGAAAGAAAACACATGCAGTTATGTTTCTTGTCCCCTTGGAAAACATATTTGAAAAGTTTTGATACTGAATCAAATAACATTTAAGTGCTCAAGCACATCAGCAAAACCTCAAAGTCTCTTCAAGCATTTAAAAAAACAACAAAACAAAACAAAAACAAAGGAACGGCAACAGCAATCCCCTATCATCTCATAATACTATGTGATGTATCATGAAATATGGGTCCCTCTATTTTACAATTAATGGATCATTTGCTTTAATGAACATCCCCCGCACCACACAGCTAGTTACAGAGCTACCTGTCATCCAAACTCTGTTGGCTACATGCTGGCAAGAAACTGAGCCAACTTACTAGACGGAGTATTGGCACAAAACATTCTCTGTAGCTGCCAAAAAGGCAGGTTTAGCTTCAGCTGTAGTCTCTCAGGAAAGCTAGGAACATCATGCAGTTTGTACAACCTCTTTTATTTATTTCACAGAGGAGCTCAATTAGCTCCTGAAAGAACTATGCTAAATCAGGGCGAGGTTATGGAAGGGGTGGAGGCAGGGTGGGGGGTGTGTGGGTGTGTTAAAAGGAGATTCAAGTAGGAGAAAAGATGCATCAAGAAGTCTCTAAATCACTATGAGGTATCTAGAAAATGCAGGCTTTTGTTCCTGCAGGACATGTAAAACACATTGAAACAGGAAACCCACAGAACCCATATTCCAACAATGAAATTATCATATATTACTGTGTTGTTTAAATATTTCTAAAGCATTCACTTTAATGCAAAATGTCCATCAAACCTGAAAGCTGTGCATTGTGCCATTATGAATGTTGGAAAATTGAAACCCCCCAAGGCACAAACGATCTATAAACTCACTATGAGTTTGCTGCAATTTTTCTTTTAGCAGGGGCATCACCCTCATTACCCAAAGCAAACACTGTCTGAATTAAGGAAAACTTAAATGTGATTGCTGGCTCAATATCCAATAGTATTTCCAGCTATCATGCAAACTAATCCACAAAAATATAGTGCTACATGCACACAAGCAAAAGCTTTTAAGTTACAAAGGCATTATCCTTCAGGAATCACACAGCATGGAATGGCAGCATGCAAAACATTTTAAAAGCAAGCCAAAAGGCTGTTGCAACTAGTACTTAAATGACTCGTTTTCTGTCTAGTGCAGCTGGGATGCAAACCTTGTGATTTGTTAGTGATAAATATTTGCATTCTTTGCACTTTGCATGGCCTTCCAATAGTGAGGTACTGATCATACAGCTTCAGAGTGTTGCAGTAATTATAGAAAGCAGAAAAAAGCAGAAGGGAGAAGAACACACCTTGGCAGGGGTAAAGAAAAATCTGTTTATAGGCTTGGAAGTTCTCCATATTTGCCTATTTCACAGAACGGTTATTTGCTTACTTTAAACAGATAAAAATAAATGAACATCTGATACTCGGTTTAAAATACAGTGCTGGTGAACTTATGGCAAGTACTTCATTCATCCTTAATGCTTCCAGGAGCTGCATCATCAGTTAATATTTACTACTTCAAAAAGCGTATGTAGGTAATGACTACTGCTACTGCAGGTTTAGTCTCATGTGCCCAACTGCTGACGTGTTTGTCATCCCAGTTCCTACCGCGTACTCTCATAGCTTTGTAAAAGCCTGGCCTTTTACTGTGACAAATAAATCTTACTCCTTTAAACCCAAGATAGATCCTGAAGAAATTGTAAGCCTAAGAAAAAGTCTATTTACTCTGAAACTATTAAACATGATAACTTTACCCAGCCACAGACGTTGGCAAGGTTTTTGCATAATGTTGCTAATGCACTTAATGTATTCAAGTGTGTTTTTGTTTTACAAAATGGTATTTGTATATAGAATTCAAAGAAGTGATACCAACATGTTAGTGTTTTAATTGTTGGCATTTTGCACTGCTTTAAGCTATTCCTGACTAAATAATACTATTCCTTTCAGTTAGGTATATTCTAGATGTCACTTTCAAAATAAAGACTTTCATATTCTGTTTATTAGAACATTTACTGTATTAAGGGAATCAGCTTCCCTCAAGAGATTTTTCACTCGCTCTTCAGTACTCATGAATTTAACAACAGCATCCCAGCCCAAAACAATCCATGATGTATGTGTTAGAAACATGCAGCATTTATTTTCTACTTTTATGAGAAACGGAGCTTATATGTGCACTATTGGATCACGTATATTAGAAAGTTACAGAAAAGTCTTAGATCATTGGGTAGGTAAGCTTTCCACCTAATGTGAACAGCTTGCAGACGTAAATTCACATTTCAAAACAGCATCAGTTGATCTGAACTTCAGTTGTATGGATCAGAAGGTGCCAAGCTGCGAAGTCTATCAGGTTTCAGCTCCTGGTAAAAACCAGGATACTTGCCTATCCTCCCAGCGGTAAAAGATCTAATCTGCTACAAAGCTTAAAAGTAGACTGTGATTTCCTTGTTAAAAATATCCTGTTGTCCTCTACAGCCATAGATCTACTAATGACTTTGTACTTTTCTCCCTTTTTCTGGCTGTGGCTATTTGCTGTGTTTCTTACACAACTCATACAATTTCCCTCCACCTTCATATATGCACTCCTTCCAATCTGCTTACTAGCTCCTGCTTAGTAAGCAATATATATACTTAGGTTTTAAGTCATCACAATAGCCCTTCTCAGGCCCTTGGAATTCTAGCAAGGGAATCACTCATCTAATATTGTCTGCTGAGGCACCAAAGCAACTTTATAAGTTCAAGTTAAAGCAAATTTCAGAAGTCATTAGCTCAAAATTACTATTCTAAAAATAAATTTAAGAAAGTTTGAAAAATTTTGGCTTACTAGTAGGGAAAACATATACAGGAATATTTCACATTTGCAATTGGGAGTATCTAACAACAAAGAAACATTCTCAGAAAAATCTAATAGGTAGTATTTCAGGTAAATGTCAGAATTCATTACAGAAAAAAAAAATCACAAATCTTATCAACAATAAGAAATAACAGAAGTTTGGGATACAGGTAAAGTCATTAAGTTTTGCGATCTGTCTCCACCTCTTTGGTAGAAGGCATTCAAATGAAATATTTGAATAGGCATTTATAAATTTATCTGAAATCTGTAACTCTTTTTGAACCACTTCAATTTTCTTGTCATTAGGAAGCATTTGACTTTCCCTTTTTGATACATCATTCATCTATGAAAAATATGCTGTCATTACTAACACCGTATTTCTAATTCATATTAGGCTACATTCAGAATTTCATTATCTACTCAATGTTTCAGCAGACAATTATTTCTCCCTTTGTAATTCTAAGGGTAACTAGACACAATATTTGGACTTGCAGCATTTTAATCTGGAAAGGTGCTGTTATAAAGTATTTATTATTTGCTATGATGAATCACCAAATTGAGAGTAGGCTGAAGTGACAAAGGAAAGGAATTTCTTCTGTAACCTGTATCAGTTACATCACACACATTTTTGCATGTTACGTAAATTTTAAATATAACCCAAAATATTTAGTGCAGAGATTTTTTTGACAAAGTAAAACAAAAACTTTAACCATAATCATTAGTCTGCATAGCCAAAGGAATTCTGGGCAAACAACTCCTGCTAATTTAAATTTAAATGAGATAACTAGGTTGTCAAGGGCATTTGAAACACTGAATAGGAGTTTCTAAGCAGAAATATATTAAAGTATTTCCTAATAAATATGCTTTCCAAAAGGGTGCTTAACCAAGTTGTATGTACAGATAAGTGGGACACTGTAACAGCCCCAGTCTAGTCAACTGCACTTTTTGCTCAGGAAGGGTATACTGTCATAATTTTGTATTTTATCAAATAGAAATGTAGCATGACATTTATAAATAATTTCTCCTAATACCATATTTTAAGTTTTAAAAAGTAATTCATTAACTTTTTTAAACAGCTGCCTGTTTGGAAATAAAATCCATGACTGCAACAGAGACTCATTGCTAAGCATTTCTTACATTGTTATTCTCTTCAAAATCTAAATTGTCTCTCCATACAAGCAGAAAGCGAACTCTCACAGAGAAATAAAACCAGAGAGATGCCAATTTACACAAGAACTGCCACTAAGGTAGCCAATAAGCTGTTTTCTCAACTGTGTGGTACAAGAGGTCTTCTCCCTATTTATCAGTAAGAAAAAAACCCAATAATTGGGAAGTTTTATGTCAAACGATAAACACCCTTACCAGCATAATCACATAAGCGGGTACCTACTGCTGGATCTCTGGTACACTAATGGACTTCATTTTGTATCCGAGATAGGGTTCCTGTGCACTTCTACTTCCAAATGTCTCGTGGAGTCACATTCGAGAAGATTCCCACTAATGTTTGGAGCTTAAAAATACTACTGCAGCTGAACCCAAACTAGAAACTAAATTTAAAGAAATCCATCAATATTCACAAAATAAGATTATTTATTTAGCACCACAACATCAATTTATCAAAATCCAAAGAGTCTTTTCCTTTTAACTAGTCCAGATTTTCTTTTGCTAGAAGTTCCTGGTTTATACAATGAAGAATGATTCAAAGCATCTGAAGTTAGGTTTGACCTCAAGCACCACTTAGAGATCAAGTCACTGTTGTGCCACTTTTTAAGAGCATCTCGCAGCCCTAGTAAGCAACTGTATTAACTTCTCCAACATGTGAACGTCTAAGCAAAAATTCAGATGGGTTCTTTCTTGACAACTGGAAGGTCTGCTAGCCTAGGAAAATGCTGCTGGCCTATTGATTGTATTTTGTGAACAGACACCAGTTCTTAACTTGATAAAACAGTTACCTGCATTAGGAATGAAACTGCATAAAATAAACTAAGAGAAGCTAAACACACAGGATTCTTGAGCTACTCTAAAAAAGATGATTGTTCAATGAATTTTAGATTTATAACAACTTGAGTCTCTCATACACTCTGTATTACAGAAAGACTTAAAAATGTTCTTTCAGATGAGTCTCATTGATCTCTGCTCACATGTCTTCAACAATTTGGGAAAGATAAACTGAAATCTAGGAAGTGCAGAAAAAATACCTCTTTCATCTTCGATGCTAGCATAGACAACAAATACTGATTTGTAATTAGGAGTTCCCTTAGCAGAAGCTGGCTGACCATACACTTCAGACTCACCAGTAAGGAAAACCAACTGTAAGGGCAGCAGTGCAACGGAAGTTGTCCTTGAGAAAAGAATGGGAATTTTCTTCAGATCACAAAAAAGAACAATAAAAAAAAAACAAAGAAAAAGTGGACTTCTAAGATTTCCTTTAACAGAGATTTCCAAGTCTGAACCAAATTTAAACTGTATGTTTAGCATACAGTAAACATACTATACAAACATAGCAAGAAAAAGACTCTATGCCACTGCAGTGATCAAGGTAACCCTCCAGGCTAAGCACTCACCTTTTCTGATAACACAAATGTATACTCTTAACACTTAAATTAAAAATAAATAAATAAAATCAAGAAGTATTTCAGAGAAGAACAGAAACTGGAAAGAAAATCTGGGGGAAAAGAACCCCACAATACTCATAACTGAAGAAGACCCAAAGACAATCTATTACTTCTTCCTGAGCTAGCAGAGAAAACAGAGTACAGAATTGCACAGAAGAGATGCAAAGACCTTAGGATTCTAGCCCTTAATGCACTATGCCACCTTCACCAGCAGCAAGGGATAACCACTGTCATTCCAGAAACCCTTCAAAACCCACTATTTATAAGAACACACATCGCTGCTATGAAAAAACATAATGGCTACTGCAATCAGATCAGGTGGAAATGTTGAAAAATTTGTAAAACATCTCTCAAAAAAGGAACGCTTAAGAAGAATACTTTTTTCTGGAGTCAGCAGGGCATGGACTCCAAACTTGAATAAAGTCCATGACATTTGCCAGAAGAGGAAACCGACCACAAAGCAAGACTTCCAAAGCCTTACAAAAGGCAGGAAACCCCTGAGTACCACTCTGAGGAAACACTGGAAATATTTGAGGGCAAAGCATTAATTTGCATAACAAGTACAAAACATCTGAATAGCGAGCATGCTTCACAAGCTTTGAACTAAGAAGTAACTCATTAAAGTTGTTCTAAGAGTAATTTGTACATGGTGGCTATACAGTACTCCAAGAAATACTGAAACGAGGTTTCAGTAAGCAGCAGTAATGCAAACTGCTTTATTTGTACTTTTTATGGACATTTTGATAGCTTAAACTCTAAGTATTCACGTACCCAAATCACAAGCTATACTCCAAAATATCAAGGAAAAAAACCCAAAAATCTAAATTTAGGAGTTTTAAAGCTCAGAAGTTGTTGTCAGAACTCAATACACATCTACGGACTTTATTAACACAGATAATACATTCACAAGCATTTTCTGCCAGGAAGCAAAACAGGACCGCTGCTTTGTTCATTTGCATATTAATGCCTAGCATGGTTTAAGCTGACAGCTGTGTTGAGTCTATGCTACTGGCCATTCAATTTAGGAAATTGGAAGGTTTATACTTCTAGGAAGGCCTTTAGAGTTTGCTGTGTTGGCGAACATAAATACATCCCCATCAGAGACAGATGTCGACTTTTAATAACGTGTCTGAGAAAATTTTGTGAACACTACTCAACTACATTCACACTTTAGGGAGGAAGGGGCTACCTTCTCCACTTTCTGCTATTCAGAGGCTGAGGGAAAAGTGCTTGTAAGATTACTTATATTTCCCACAAATTTCTTCATTTGTGACATTTCAGAAAAATAAAAAAATGAACACCCAATTGTCACTAACTTGTAGGACAAAACAATATTTATTCTCAAGTAGCATTTAACACTTCACCCTAGTTACTGGGCAAGGTGGTTATAAAAAATTCATTAGAAGGGAAGTTTAAATTTAGAAAATACTGTGTTCAAAACAACAAATAAGAAACTTCAACACACCAAAAACTAAAGAAAACAAGTCCAAAAGAGACAAAGTGCAACCCATGCAAAATTTTTCTTCTGCTTTTAAATTAACTCAAACTTAGCATAACCTCCTTTTGGTGATGTAGTAATGCAGACTGAGTCACTTTTCATGGTATGGAGGAGCAGAAAGCAATGACAGCAGCAATGGCAGGCCTTGCAGTCTATCTGCTTAAAATTCACACCCTTTCACCTTGCGTGTGTGTGGAAGAAGTATGTGGAACAGAAAATCACTTCCACCTGGACCACTGCTTCTCTTTATCTGTTAAAGGCACATATATCACTCCCATCAGAGGCTTCATTTTGACACTGCCATCTTCTAGTTTGTCATACTGTTCGAGCATCTGGTTTCCCCCTGCAGGACCAACTGGTAATATCAATCTTCCGCCAGGTTTTAACTGATCTATAAGCTAGAACACAACACAGAAATTAGAATGTAACCAGCCTCTTCAGAGAAGCTGTATCCAAAGTTTGTTACATCAGATTAACAGCTTTGCCACAATTTATCTATCTGTTGTTATGTGGCAGATAACTACTTCAATTAGGAAAAATAAAAAAATGCACTGAAAATGAGAGTATTGCAACAACATCGTCCAACAATTGATATTACAGAAACATTCACAATAATTTCATATAATTCCAAAAGAAGGTAAAGTAGCAATTGGATTAACTGAGTTGGTTGCAGTTTTAGTTTCTACGTAGAGGGGAAAAAATGTAAACTACAAATTATTTTTACAGTAGATTCAATCTTTTTAAATTGCCAGATACTTATTATGCATCAGTACAGGACCAATGTCTAACATCTTTGGGGTAACTGATTTCCCATTAAGCTCTCAGAATAAGATTTGATATTTGCGACCTTTTTTTAATAGATCTTCCTGGAATAATTTTAAATTGTCTACAATACACTCACTACCCAACAGCTCCTCTTTCATTTTGTGAATGGAACAGCCTTTTACAAAACTAGTGTAAAATACATGAATACAAGTAAGGTAAGTGACAAGTAATAGAGTATGTGAGAGAAATGCTTGGATTTTGTTTTTTACTTTCATAATTAAAGAAGTAGGCTAATCACAGTAGTCTCAAGGAAAATTCAGTACTTCCCAGATGCCATTAAAAAAATCTTAATCCCTGTTACTAACAAAAGTTACAATTAAGAACTGTTTCATTCACTAATAAGCTTTAAATTACTTTTTTAATTGTCATCTGTCAAAATTTTGATGGGAAGAGCTGCCCCTCCAAATAAAAAAAACCCACAATGGCTAATGTCTGTAAATGTCTAACCTGTCTATAGCACCTCAAACCTCTATTATCCCTCATTAAAATCCAGATTTAAAAAAACATAATTGGTATCTAGCACATAAAAATCATGCTATGTACTCCCATTCACCTGATGAAAGGAAGAAAGAAAAAAAAAATCTCATCTGCAAGAAAGGACTTCTTGTACGCACACCCTAAAGTCCCTAGTTACTCTTCAGCTTCTCTAGTAAGAACTACCCTGTATCCACTCTGAAAGATACAAACACATGGCACTGTCTGTATTTCCAGCTGAGCACATTACTTTTCCAACAGGCTCAATGGAACCTAGTAACAAATACTTACAATCTGTAATTCAATGTTTGATAAAACCAAATTCATTTATGTAATAAAATGCTCCAGTTCATTATTGTAATAGGGGGCTGTGCACAAGAAATTTTAAAATATGCTTATTTAGAGGAGAGTTATTAGAGCATACAGCTTTTGCAAACCAGTGGGAAACAAAAAAAACACACTGTACAGTAATACCACCCTGCCCACTGACACTCCCAGCAGTGAAAGTCTACCAAGTATTTTACATCGATATGTATGTAACACGTTCTTTACATCTAAGAGACTACTGAATCACACATAAAACAAAGGCTTACTGCTTGGGGCACAACTGGTGCTGCAGCTCCTACATGAATTGCATCATAGGGAGCTTCTTCTGCATATCCCAGTCTTCCATCTCCCACTGCAAGAAAACACTTTTTTTAACATTTCAAAATGAGGGGAGAAAACAGGTGATCTGCCATATCTATAGGTAGATAAAAGGTTATGTTCAGATTTCAACTAAAATTCTGCTAAACAGTAATAACATGATTAAGTTAGTTTAAAAATATTAACACACTTGTAAAATAGATGCAACAAAACACCCTCATATGTACATGCACGCACTTATAAAAGATACGAACTATTACTGAGGCACCCGAAATTAAAAAGCATGGATTTATAATGAAAATTCTTGGAGACACATGCTCCACCTGGAAAAGATACTTAAGTGTTCATGTGCCCTGTCATTCCAATGCAGGTGACTCTCCTCTTCGTTCACCCTCTTAAAACATACGCCTTGCTTTGCCTCACGCACATCACTTCTAAATATAATGCAAGTCATAAGTCTAAAGCATTAAATCTCAGAAGACTCCAAAGGTGAGAAAAAGACAAAGCAAGTATTCCCATGGACTATATACCTATAACTGCACTACTGGCTGGAATGAAAGTCCACACCTACATTCACACATTAATGCAGTAGTGCACTCAGCCCCACGAAGCCCCCTTTGCCAGCAGATAGGTCTCACTATCCTTCCTGCAGACAGTTGCTGGACTAACATGGACAGCCAGGTCACATCTGTGGCTAAAGCTCAAGGTGTCTGCTTGGAAGATGTTACAAGTAATTAAGTTATTCAGAGGGCTACCAATGGAGCTTCAGCTTTGGTGGAGAACTCATGGAGAAGCATCCTATGTCTCATACCATCCCTGTTATGCAGGAGAAAATGGGAACAGCTTGGTTTTTTTAAGCCACTGAAATGTAGCAAACTAAACTAGACCCTGAGTTAAATTTGAAAGATGATGACGTGCATGCGGTATCCACGGTATTTAGAGGAAACCAGTGGGGAATTTAGAGCAAGTTAGGCAAGCTCTCTCTGGAGTTATTTAGGAACAAAAGTAGTAAGTGAGGCTAAACCATCCATAAATTCACACTTGATGAGTGCAGAAGTCCCAGTAATCAGTCAAGAAGAAAAAGCAAGGAGGCTAATGAACAGAGTCCTCTGCTCAGCACAAGTACTTGCTTGGGGTTTCCTGTCCTCAGACTGAGCTTTGACTTCTGTGCAACCACTATTTCACAAGTTAATTAAAACGCTGAATGAATTAAAAGAAGTTTTGAGCCCCTGCCAGAGGCTGAAAATTTGTCAACTTTTTGCCTTCCAACAATTCACAAGGCAGGAAAAATACATGGTGGCCATAGCAGGTTTCATTTTGACCTCAGTGATAGGGAGGGCCACCTGGACAGTAACAGGGAAGGCCACCTGGACAGTAACAACACCCTTAAGTATCCAACAGTGTACAGGAAGATCTGGACAGCTCCTTTAAATGATTAAAATTGGGGAGTTTATCATCTTTCATATTAGGCCCTGAAACAAGATCCTGCAAGGGCCTTCTACGCCCAAACCTTAAGGACCATAAGAAGAGAGCATGTGTTCCCTGTTGCTCAGAAGTCCCTTAAAGCTCAGTGACTTTTCTCATATAATCAATTCTGACCAGCACAAGCTCCAGCTGAGGGCCACAGGCAGAAGCTGCCAAGCAAGAACTACCAATGCTTCAAGAGAACTCATGCCTATTGATCACCAATTCCACTAAGTCAGCTTTTATTACTGTTGCCAGTAATGAAGATGACAGTTCCAGTCCTTCCAGGGCTTAATCTCTCTGACTCTGCCAAAGTGAGTTCTGCCAGAACAGCCACTTCAATGCAGTCAAGCATATAATTTATATTTGCTTAGTAATACTGTACACCTCCTCTAATGAGGAAATAGTGATGTGTTACTGTATCAAGAAGCTGTTCCATTAGAGAAGGTGATGGAGAAAGACTTCCTTAGCTCAAATGTATAGATACTGCTCTGAATGATGTTAGTTACACAGGAGACAAACCCTCATTCCCTAAGATGCAGCAGCAGGCATTAGAAACAGTGATCTCCAGTACTGCTGGCAAAAGAAGAAGAGTAAGTTGAAGAAACAGATGTGAAAGAAAACTGCTGTCTTCTGAAGAATGCATGTACTCTGAGACTTAAATGCACCTTGTACACTGTCCAGAGAAGTCTGAATGTGACTTCTGCACATCTTATCATTTCACTGACAGTAGCAAAAAGGACCCAAAACATCTAAACCCTTTGCTCTTAGAATCAATAGTCCAAACCAAAGCTACCATCTCCAGAATCAGTGCCCATACAAAAAAATCATGCTCCTTTATATATATCAAGCACAGCACGGCTCTTCCCTGTTAACATCCACAAAAATTCTGCTGGCTACAGCAGTCAGGTATACAGCTACCCACAATGGGAACACACTTTTAGATATCCAGAAGATTAAAAAAAAAAATAATTAAGTCAGCATTCATATATTCAATGTGATACAAATTACTACATTACTCAATGTCCAAGGGGAAACAGCAGCCCAAATTTTGAGCTTGTGCTTACATCCTGAATAACATCACCCATCCTACTGAGATCTCCCCTGACCTGCAGCCTGTTAATGAAGTAATCACAGCCTTGGGTGGTGATGAGGGAGGAAGTAGTGTCAGGACTTCCTGACTTAGAACGGTTTTGTAGCTTGTTCTTGAACCTAGATCTGATCTGCTGATCACAGTTCCCAAGCCTTCAGCATCTCTACGCAGACCTGTTTCACACAGAGTTGTAGCATGAGCACAGAAACAGAAGAAAACTGCTTCACTGTGAATACCCTCATCCCCTCTGGGTATGTCTGCATCAGCAACCAGTGCAGTACAATAGAAGCAGATCTGTACAGCAAACCAGTTTTTGCTGAGAACCTGATGTCCATACAACATATGCATTTCAGAATGATCGCTCTGGTCTAGTTCTAGTCTTACTGGCTTAATATCCCCTAACATATCAAACATATTTGGTTGTGTCTCAGAGTACATAAACCAATCAAGTTTTATTCAAAAGGAATCAAAATTTGTGCAAAAAGTGTGGTAAGTGGAAGCACTTGAGAGACTCACCTCAAAGGTGTTCTTCTGATTTTAAGAGAAAACAAAAAAAACCCAAAACACACCAAAAAAACCCCAACCCAAACCCCACAAACTAATACAGATACACCCTAAGTATAGCTATTCCCAAGTTCTCAGTGCAGTTCTATTACTGAGACACCCCAAAATAACGCTGATGCTCCTGAAATGCAGTTATGGTGTATCTGAGGTGTGACCAAGCAATGGTGCATGTTTGAAGCATACTTGTCAAAAGCCAGCAACTGACTTACCTAGTCTTAATTCATACAGTTCCCATGACCAATCAGCCCTGGGTTTTCAGGGTTTTTTTCTTTATGTGTTTAGGGAGGGGGTGGTATGTTTGGGGGTTTTTTTGTTTCTTTTAAAAAACAGCTCTGTCTGGATTCTAGCTCCACATCAAAGAGCTCCCAGGAATCCAGCACAGTTGAAACATTCTTCTCCACCTAATTCACAAAAGTGCTACTCATTCATCTGTATTTTTTTTTAAATGTACTTCACAACAGAACTATTCAGAAGTCTCTTAGTCATCGTGTTACACAGTCAAACATAATACAGATGATGTGTTTACTTAGAATTCTAGGCTCCCAAGAGCATCAGAGTTTGTTTCAGGCACAACCAGAAGCATAAGTCCAAATTGCTCTTGTACAGCAGCAATGGAAATTATCCCCCCATTTCCCCTCCCCAGCCCCAACAGCCTCAGTATAACTTCTTCTCCAAGAAAGTTTAAGGCATAAGTATTGTGAGGAGCACTGCATTTCATACATGTGTACAAGTACTTCTGTTGACTGGCTTATTTAAAAAAGATTTAGAAAACTCCTACATTAAAAAAAAAAAAAAAGACCAAGAATCAAAATGGTAATGAAGCCAAACATCACAGAACAATTATTTTTCCAAGTGCTCTTGTAAGAAGCCTCAAAATAATCCAGACCTTCAGCTTCTTTTTAAACTTAACACAGAATGATAATGAAGGGAATGCTTTCCTGCTGCCAGCTTTGCATCTTCAAAAAAAAAATATTTATTTTTCTTGTTAATCAAAAAACTATTATTTAAAACAATTTACTGTCCTTGTATCATTTTAGCATTATTTCCTCTCAGTAACTCTAATTTCAGTTTGGTATCAATTAATCACTTCCCTAACATACAGATACTGTTCATTTTAAAAACAGGCGAAATAAACTTCAGTGATGCATACTATGATGCCAGTCTAGTACTTTTCCCACTTGACTCTTTGCATGCAGCTTTCTCAATTACTACATCAGAAGTATGAAGGCTTTGTTAAAACACACAAATTTAGATGACAATACATTTATTCAAGAAAAGTTGTGCATTCAAACACAATTTTAAATAGCAAATTTAACATGACAGACCTTCAGCATGTATTTTCCCCAGAAAACACTTCCCTGCTACACTTCTCTAATACAACGATTACACATTCTTTAAGATTACCAGAAGTCATATTCTCAAAACTGTATGAAGATAGTATTTTTCAAAGGCCTAAAAACAACTTGGATTTTAAAATTTTCATTTGGCTCTTCTTTCTTTGGTTTAACTGCTTAAATTAGAATTTTTAATCACATCCAATTCCAGTCAGTTTCAACCAGCTGCTAAAAAGAATCAGTTTAATTAGTAAGTATATCAGTCTGATGCTCACCAATCAGTTTCACTCTTCCTGAAGACAGCAATGTGGGATCATCTTTTTTGACATTACTTATTGAGTCATCTACTAGTTCTTTGATATGATCAATTCCTACAACTTGTCCTTTGGGACCAACCTGGAATAAAAATATACAGTTGAATAATTTCTGCTAGTTTTGATGTAGTTATAGAATGAGTATTTCTGTCTCCTGAGCCCATTTCTCTAAAATAAAAACAAAACCAGTGAAGTGGGAGTATATTTTCCCAATGTTAGTAAAACTCTGCTTGGAATGACACATTGCGACTGCTAGAAGCAACTGGTAATTAAAGTTTGTCAGTACAGTTTTATAAATGCTTGTTACAGTAATCTTTTTGAGATGTGATTCAGTTGTATTTTATAAATGCTTGTTACAGTAATCTTTTTGAGATGTGACTCAGTTGTATTTTAAAAATAGTGGAGATTTCTTCTCTGAATTTTTAGAAGCTAAATTTGATCATGAGTGTTTTCATTACCTGCAATAGAAAGTAACAACTTAAAGGACAAAGGCTGGAACTAATGTCCTTTCATGTTGAATAAACTTACTTAAAGATTAAGTTTCTTCTAGAGAAGACCTTAATTCAAGGAAAATAGTAAGTCATGCATTACATTCTAAGTTCTCAAGAATCCTATCCTTCCAGAAGCAAATGCAGCAATAACAGTCAGGGACTAACTACCTCCCACCCACCCTTGCACTCATGAATCTACTATCAGATTAATAGTTCTCTTCCACAGGAAGACTGGAACTTTTGAGAGCTCATAACTCACAAAAGGTCACAAAAGATCTGTGTATTCTGAGGGGATAAAAGGCCTACTAACAAAGACTTCTCCACTACAGGTGTTTCTTCTGGAATTGTGTCTTTATTCCAGAAAAAATACTCCAATTTTGGAGAGAGGAGAAAAAGAATCCAAATCTTAAAATCTGACCATTTTTAACAGGATCCAGCTCAAAGAACACAACAGCAGAGTACGTCCTAGCAGCCCATGTTGTCATACAACTTTGGACACATTTGCATACATTGGTTATGTTTTTGTATCTTACATTTTAATGTTGCTAATATATGGAAAATTAATAACTAGTTACCAATACCATGGGGACATTTTCTGTTTCATTATGGACAAGTCCTACATTAAAAACATCCAAAGAGCAGTTTTATCTCTTCTTTTTCAAGTGGAACTCCACCAGCCTAGCCTTTGAAACAGAGCAAGACACGTGGTAAGTTTCCACTATGACAACCACAGGTTACTATTTTGAGGAATGCCTGGCAGTCGGTTGTACCACAAGCTGGCAAAAGATCCAGTGTAGTCCAACAAAGCGTAACGTCAATTAAAATTTAGCATGAACTAGCCTGATGGAAAGTAAGAGAACCTCCTGCTGCATGTCAGTCTGTTGTGCTATTTCTGAGTGCTCATCAACTACCTCTGTTTACTACCCTGGAATTTTGAAGTGTGCGCAATCAAGACAATAGCAAAATAGCACTATTTTTGGAATCTCCATGGTCTGTTTGAAGAAAAACTATACCACACTTTTTATAATTCCAATACTTACAGGATGAAAACTACAATTAATTTAATTTGTCAGCAACCTCTAAAAGTAAATAAACTTATCTAAGTTTGTATGCTATGTAGGTAACTTTATCACAGCAGTTTAACGTGAAAATCCAAACAAAAAACTTAAAGATGCTTTACTAGTCTAAGTAAACATAAAGCTCTCCCAGAAGGGCCACAAATAAGATCACAGAAGCAAAGCTGTCATGACATCAGTGTGCACTCAGGTGCCTGTGCCACAGAGGAGGGCTATTCTAGATCTCAAGCAGACTGATCCACATGATCCAGTAAACACATTCACAACTGAATTTTGATAGCAGAACATTTTACCATCATTCCCTATAATACACTTCTTTCAAGCTTTTGTTACTGTTAGAAAGAACTTTACAGAGAAAGAAACTCGGAGCAGTACATATTGTCTTATCTACATTCATTGAAGTGGATGAAGCAAGATCTGTATTGCACAGTAATAACGCTATCAAACAGAACAAAAGCATTTATGTAATATTTCTACAAAACACATGTCCGTAAGGCATTCCATAGCATACCACCAAGGAGGATTCAGAAGAGGAACATGACATTCGTATGGCAATAAAAAGATTGTGTGATTAACTTGAGCGAAATTGGAAAGAGATTTCCTTCCTGTGGTAATTCTGACTTCTCGGCAGATGTTTTCAGCTATTCTTATATAGCTGTTTTAAAAGAAAAAAGTGCACAACCACATCTTTTCACATCTCTTCTCTAAAATGGCTCTTCCTCTATGCTTTCATAACTTTTTAGTAAGAAATACACATAACTTCAACAAAAAGTTTTAACACTTCTAGGATTGGAGTTCCCATGCATGCTACTAACACCTGATTATTGACTACAAAGTTAGACAAAAAATAATAGGTAGAAAGTTGAATAAGCAACATTTAAGATTTCCTCTGAACTGCAGTTTGGTTGATGTATTTCAACTACGATTTCTTTTTTTTTTTAAATATAGCAGCTAGAACTTAAAAAGCCTAAATACTTTCGCTAGTGCATTGCCCTGTCCTAAACACTCTCATCTAATACTTAACACAGTAAACCAGAAGTGATTGCAGACTCAACAGTCAGTGCTTGAAAACAGGAAACTAAATAGCAAAAAACCCATATGAGAACTTATCATATGTATCACCCATATTTCAAATTAACTTATAAGAAAGACAAAAAAAAAATCTAGATGGCAGTTTAATGAAGGTCTCTGCCAGTTATAAAGCAATTATAAAGTCCTGGAATGGAGAAGGAAGAACTGATTATATCCCACTGCACAAATTAGTCTAACAGTACTGTAGTTACAGCCATCACAAAAAAAATATTTTCATTTTTTTTTCCTGATGTAAGATAGGGTGGAACCACAGAGAATTTCTTACATGCAGTTTGAACAGCACAGAGATTAAATTACTTGGAAAAGATGCAAAAAGAATATCAATTAATATCTAACTTAGAAAAGATTAAATGGATACTTATCCTGATGCTCATGCAACATAGTGACAAGAAAAAAACAGAAATTAAATTCAAAGATAATTTTATACACACAATATATTTTGCTATGGAAACAGGATTCTTTTAGGTCTCACTAAGCTCTCATCATAGCAGGAAGACATGACAGTGGATCACAATGAGAACATTCATAGCCACACAAGAAAATGTAAAAATTGCTCTGGACAAGACAAACATCTCCTTCCTTCAAGCTATAAAGCAACAACTAAAATATAATAAAGAAAAAAAAAAACCTCCCCCTCTAGGCAGTTTCTTCACCACTGTGTGATTTACTGGACCCTTTAACTCAACCATCTAGCATCAGCTAGGGTAAGAAATTGGTACTAATCACACCCAGGAGAGTAAATTATTTTCTGTATAATCTACACTGTACAAAGGAAGTGGGTTTTTTTCTCTCCCCTTTTGTTCAGAGTTATGCTGCACTTCAAGCAGTTCCAATGGTCAAGTGATTAGACAAAATATCTCACCATTCGTGAAAAGCATGCTGTAAGGATTCCACTTCCAGATCCTACATCAAGTGCTTTGGCTCCTTCATGTAACTGATCACACAGAAGTTCAAGAGCATATGCATGCTAAGAGAAGACAGAGACAGAAAATTTCAAAGTATTTTAAGTGTCTATTTTACCCCATAATATATATTCATTTTTCCAGTGATTTTGGTTTTGGGCAACGCACTAAGGATTTGTGTAAGAAGTTTCAGAATTATTTTCCATTTCAAAGTTGGGGGGGGAGGGTAACTACATGATATAATTATTGCTATTTCATTGACTTCAAATTGTGTGCATGTATATCTACATATACTAAATATATATATACACACATACACAAACTCATCTGAACATTCAGGCTTCTGGCTCACACTCAATTTAGATATAGTTATTAGGAGATACACCATAAATCAATTTAATTCTCTCCAGGTCTGGTGGTTCTTTACTGTTCAGCAGTATATGGACCAGGAATAATTTAGCCTATCATTATGTTACATACATTGGAATATGCTGGGACAGAGGCTAGTTAGGAAGAAGGCAGCTTTGGAGCATCACAGAAAATGGCTATTAAAATTAGCTCTTGTACTACCTGCACACTTGCTGAATCAAAGAATAGGAAAAAGAGGTTGCCTTTAACAAAGGCAGATAGCCAGGCACATATATGAAATGTAGTAGTCTACAGATGAGCAGTTTTGCTTTCTTACATGGTGGACCAGTACACAAACTAAGCTTAGATCACACACTAAAAAAAACATTTGTTCTTTGATGTTTCAGAGATAGACATTACCACGCTCTCATGGCTTAATCCGTCACACCCAGAAAACAGAAATAATTAGAATATTTACTGTTAGAACATTTATTGTTAAATTTCCTTAGAGGATACATTTCCTTTTTGCTCTAACAGTTCATATACTACTGGTGCTAAGCACCAGATAATTCAAGGATAATGACTTAGACAAGCTGAAATTTTTAAAACGTAAGTATTAATTATTTTCTCACTTAGCCACAGTACTTCTTTCTCTGTCTTTCCTTGAATAAAATTCTTAATATTTCTATACAAAATTTCTGATTTTACTTTGATAACTACGTAAATTCTAGCCCAACTAGGCTGAAAAAAACAGAAAAATTATGTCTGTGCTAGACTGATGTGCTGAAATCCCCTCTTAACACTCAGTCATGAAAGTCCTGGTCTCAAACCACCTGTCAAAAAACCTGCATCTCAGTACAATATTGTTTTTTCCTGTCCAAAGAATTAAAGGCATTACATCAATACCATACCATAGAAATCACTGTTATCCACTCCTGAATCCGTGTATTTTTATAAACTACTGAGTCAGAGTAATTTAGGTTGCAAAGGATATCTGGAAATCCCGTGGTACAACTCTCTTTCAACACAGGGGCAATTTAAATTAGGCTGCTTAGAGCCCTGTCCAGTCAGTTTCTTTGCATATCAAAGAACAGAAATCTCTACAATCTGTGAAATGTGTTCCAGTGCTTAACTACCCTCAACGTGATTTTTATTTTTTAACCCTAGAAACTAATCAGAATTTCCCATGTTGCATTTTTTTGTCCACTACCCCGCGCCCCCACTGTGCATCCCCAAGAAATGTCTGGCTCAATTTTCTCTGTGCCCTCCTATTAGGCATTTCACCACAGCATTACTGCAATCAACTGTTCATTAAATTTGCTAGGGTAAGTATTTTATTTCAGAAGCATTTGGATGTTTAGAAAATCACCTATACTAATCACATAGGTTTAAAGCTTACCATGTGTGGAGCACTGATTGTTGCTTGGAAACCTGTAAAACAAGAGAACATTGATCATTGTTCAGACAGCAACCTTACAATGTTTATTACCTTGACTGTAAAATGCAATACCCTAATTGTTGCCCTAATTCAGGGCACTACACACCCTCCCCTCCCCAATAGTTACATGGGTACTCTAATTCAGAAGTGAGTTAAGGTACATAATTTGAAAGCTATGCCATGTCAACTCTGGACAGGAAAAAAAAAAGTTCTATCCTTGATCTCAGTTACAAGTTCCATTTTGTTACTGTATTACCTTAGCTTGATCAAGTATGTTGAATTCAGAAGAATAATGCCTCCCAGAATAACATAATGCCTTTTTCACTCAGTACCTATGTAAAAACCTGGATTTGTTAGTTTGAGTTTGATGTGGTGAGGACCACAGAAATTCTGGAGATGAGAGACTGTTTCTGATGTAGACTGGATACAATTGATTTTTAAGTATTTAAACATCAGCTGCACCACCACAAAATGCCACGGTTTAAAAAAATAAGTACACATTTACACATATTAATATTGACTAAAGAACATCTATCTACTTGATGTATCCAAGTATGCCAAATGCATTCCATTACAAATTGAAACTTAGTTAAAAGGTATTGAACAAACTGATAAAGAACTAAAGCTTCCAAATTTAAAAAATTATGTTCACATTCTTAACATATTTATGACAAAGGCGGTCACAGTTATGCAAATTAGAACAATCTCGATCATTTTTACAAGATGCTCTTACCTATAGACTGTGGAGAATCCATATAAGGGTTGTATTTTGCATAGTGGCAACGATCTGTAGCCAGCATTACTTCAAATACCTTGTCTGATTTGATTATTCCATTTTCTATAAATAAACAAATAAATAAAATTGAAGGCATTGTTTCTCTTCTGCAATTCAAGAGCATGTGAAATACATGAATATATTCCTAATATTGTGAGAAATTATGCTACTTTACCTTCTCTAACAGTCTAATCCTCATCATACTAGAATTTAAGCTGTGCTCCACAGATCAAACAATGCTTAAGCCAGTTAACTTTGAGTAAAACTTTCTCAGCAGTTACAGGTGCTTTTCTGAAACAGTGGAGACCATTTGCAAAGATCTATCCCCTACAAAAACACAACTTCATGCACACCTTTGATATTCCTGAAAACATAGTCACCAAGAAACTGGTATTACTCTACACACTAAACAAGATACACTTCATACTTCTAAGAAGCTACATAAGTGAGCAATTACTGAAAAACATACAAAGGCAGGTTAGAAGTCTGAAGCTACAGCATCGTTGCACAGTATTTTATTTTCAAAATCTATTGCTCTTTTGTGTTGTCAAGAGAAAAAAATCCTTTTGTAAAGAAACTCCTACAGAAACAGAATTCTTATGCTGGGGCAGACTGAGGCCAAAGAGGTTTTTACATCAAAACACTTTGAATCTTTGTTCATTTTTCAAAACAAAATGTAAATGCATATGCACGTAAAATGTCAGAAGCACCGTGCAGTGCAGCTAGTCTTCCTTGCAATTTTATTGAAGCTTTTTTTTAACATTGGTAATTCTTTTTTTAAAGTTCTGAAGAGATGTTTATGAGCAATAGACAACTTTAGGAAACAAATGGAAGAAATCTATCACTTGCATTAAAAGTCACAGTATAAACCACAAATAACTGAAACTTCAACAGATAGCTTCATTCAACTACTTACTTGAAGCAAGGAAGATTTATTTGGAAACTTATACTTAAAAGGACAAAAAATAGATAACTTGAGTATCTTTAATATCTAACCCAAAATACAGTAACATAAAAATAAGATTAAGGAGCTCTTGTAAGATTGTATTAACAAGCTGCAGCAGTGGTTTTTTTTAAAGTACTACCAACACTAACACACCAGTGCTCAGGCCTGGGCTAACTCATGCAGAGGTTTCCCTGACTGTTTACAGTGTGCTCCCAGCTACCCTTATCAATCACAGGATTTGCTTTTGTTTTTTTTTTATCTACTGCCTATGTCCAGGATTTAGTTATCCTATACAATAGAGGCTGGAATTCAGAGGCCAAAATAACCCCCCAAAACATTTTGCTTTTTAGTCTGAAGACAAAGTATCAAATAGAACTGCAATACGAATATGTTACCAAATTGTTAAGGAAAAGAACAATTTGATTTCAATGCAAGTTTTCTAATATGAGACAGCAGGCATTTACAAGCAGTTCATAAATTTACTTACTGAGAAAATTTGTACCCCAAAAGAAAACAAACAAATCAATCCATTAACACACTGGCACTGACAACATAAAATAGGAAGAAAAAAAATATTGTTTTTCCCTGACCATTTGGAGTTAGTTGTATATCAGTCCTGTGATCAAAGCATAGAAGCAAACAAAGAAATTTACTGCTAGATTCTTATTAAGTATCACCAAGAAATTAGTATCTCTAAAACAAATGTACTTTTTTCAAAAAAAAAAAAGAGAGGTAGGAGAATAAGCAAAGCTGTGGGGCAGAAGTGAGGTCAAAAAGCAGCATCTGAGAAGCGTTCAGGAAAGACCTAAAGTAGTGATGTATTTCTTGAGATTGTGTATTGTGCCGATAGCATGTACATTCTAGAAGCTACAGGTAGCCATCTGATCCTTCTTTTTACACTTTGGGGAAAAAAAATCATGCAGAACTACAGGTAGCCATCTGATCCTTCTTTTTATGCTTTGGGGAAAAAAATCATGCAGAGAATACACAGATCAAGCTTCCAGTTTGGAAGAGCAAGTGCAGGGCCCTATGATAAGGCCAAGAACCTGCTCTAGCTTTCAGGAGCCCTTCTCTGTACTGCTGTGACTGCAGGCTTCTTCCAAACCTCCTCTTTCACACTACCCATAAGCCATTTCCTCTTTCTGCAGAACTCCACAACTGCCACCTCTCATCTGCTCCTGTCATCTTGCTACTTAAGAGTATCAGTAAGTAAATTCACCTCCCAGCATTTAAAAATTTTATTCTGCCTCCATTCTATTACTTATATGTTTTACCCATTCTTCCCCCAACTTGTTTAATTAGAGTATAAGAGCTCTATGGCAGAGACTGCCTGTGGATGACTGTGCAAAACAAAGCACATAACTTTGTTTCAGACAAAGTATGGATAACTTTATCCAGTGTACTGCTTACACTGACAGGCAAATGACCAACAAACAATTGAAAACACTAGCTACTAATATTCTACAAATTCTGAGCATTCAGGATGCTCTCATTCAGTAAACACTCCTGAGATTTGCTGACTGTTGGACTGCCTTTGATTAGTGTCATATTTTTCATCAGTAAATAAGAAGTTAAGCAAGTCACCC